AAAAGCATAAACGATTTGGCAGCGAACTCGAGAAGCTGGTATTGGTTTTTTAAAATATGATGTTGGATGCAAGATTCAATTCTCCACTAAATAGCACTATTTTGATAGAGAAAATTGGATTCTGCATTCAACATAATCCTCTAGAAAACTAAATCGAAAATACTAGAATTCGCTGCTAACTTCATTGACATATTCATATAGAAACTCTTCCCCTGTCTCTTTTCTATTCTAGTAGAGATATGACTGATTTTATGATACAACGACAATCTCAAATTATTCCAGTATCTGATGAAATAATTAGCCGTCTAATCCTACAAAGTAACTGGTCACGATATGAAAGAAAAACAACGAATCATTGAAGGTAATGATAGTGAAGTATATGATGTAAAAATGGTCAATGATGAACATGTTATTTTAAAAGTGCATCGTTTTGGTGATGTTCTCTATAATCAAGAAGTATGGGCAATACATGAATCTCGCAAACACGGTGTACCTGTACCACAAGTGTTATTTGTAGGACAAGAAATGATCAATAATGAACTGCGAGACACTATGATATTAGAAAAAGTGATTGATGAACGAAATTTAAGCAAAAATGATATTGTTCGCGTTTTAGAACAAGCTGGTGCCATATTGAAAAGAATTCATTCAGTTAAGGTTCATGGTTATTGGCGGTTGCATCATGATAATCAATGGGATTTTGATTCTTGGATTGACTATGTGAAGTCATCAATCAAAGATAGAACTGAAGACAAAGAGGCACTGTTTAATGTTGATTTCATTGAAGAAGATTTCAAATTCATCATAAAATGTCATGATCTATTTATGAATACCTATGAATGTCACCAACCAGTTCTATGTCATGGTGATTACACTCCTGAACATTGGTTTGTTGATGAAAATTTAAACATAACAGGTATTATTGACTTTGGTGATATGCAAGGTGGACCTGTAACGACGGATTTCGCTATTTTTAAGATGAACGAACCACAATTAGATATTATTTCATTATTAAGAGGTTATCATGGCATAGAGAATTCTTTAATTGACAAAGATTTTAGTCAACAACTTGATCTTCATACATTAATTATATTAGTTGGCTATTTGATACATTTTGTAAAGCAAAAAAATACACAAGAAATTAATCAAACACGCGATTTACTTAAGGAAGCTATTGAAAACTTACGGCAACAATATCACTAAGGATTTTTGTACTTTAACAATTTTTTCAAAAGAAGGACGTGATAATATAGAATCATGGGTGGTTCTTATAATAAAAAGTCCGATAAAATTAGATAAAAGTTAAACAATTCAAGCTCATCTTTGTGATTTTTTCAAATTCTATACAGTTGTGAAAAAATTATGCATACGATTTCGATCAGTGACTGTTTTCGTTCTTCATATTTTCAAAAAGTTTAATTATAAGACTATTGAGTACAGAAAAGAACAAACCATACATTCGTACTATTGTGTTCGTACTGCAATTCTATTTAACATTCAAGAATACATTTTTACTTGACATATGTAACTGCACTAGAATTATTTTATAATTATTTCATTTAAAAGATACAATGATCTAGATTAAAATGTAACTTCAGTCATGAGATTTATTCAAATAAAGCTGCATTGTATGTGATCGATGTTTACTTGTCTCTCGATTATCAGTCTTTTCAGTTTTTTGTCGATATTCTTTTTTTTTTTAGTAAAGAAGATTTTAAAACGAACTTTGAATTCTTTTGGAAGTGATTCTTTGCGAGAATGCTATGATCATCTGTGCGCATATCTGTATATCATGATAAAATTATATATCGCAATGAAATGCGTAGCTTCAAATAAATTTTTCAAGTATCTTGGTTTGAATCGGCCTTGCCAAGTGAATTGGTGTTTTTGTGATATCGTAATCTCTACTCAGCTAGTTTAGTTTGTGCACTCATGTG